CTGAAAATTTTACACAAACAAGCTACCTACTACAACCTATGACTTGGAAACTGAAGCCTGTAATAAAATACAATCATCTTTTCTCATGTAATATTAGTAATGGCAATTTAAGACATTGAACTGTTAAAAAAAAGAATGAAAAGTCTAGGTGAAATTCAAGACAAAATCTTCCCAGCCAAGATGAGGAAAAATTTCAACTTATATTGACATTACAAAGTTTATGAAGACAACACCTTCCAGAATCAGGGCCATGGCTGCTCTCCCCAAGCCTTTCACAAGAAGGTCTCCTGGAGGCCCAGGGGAGGCAGCTCAGGATTCCCACAAGAGAGAAGTGTCAGTGGGTCACAAATGTGGGAGTGGGCAGAGGGACGACTCTGTTAAATGAACAATTATGTTTATAGACTGCCTGATATTAAAACAAAAAAAACAAAACCAAAAAAAACCAACAACAACAAAACCCAAGATCTTTCTGGCAGCTTCTCTGCTCAAAAACAACACATCAGTGGCCACAAGGACAAAATACAGGCTCATCACTGAAGAGCAGTGAAGTGAATCTGTTCTGAGATGAGTGGTATCCTGAAAAGCTAAAACACTTCCATGTTTGATTTCCTGAAATGCTAAAATACTTCCATGTTTGAGATCATAGTCAAAATGTCTTTACCATTACAGTGTAAACTTAAATATTGTACCATGGTCTAGAAGCCTTTCCCAGGGAACAACACAATACAGGCAAATTTATATAAAGTGCTCTTGATTGCACCCGAAATTAAAAAAAAAAAAAAAAAAAAAAAAAAAACCAAAACAAAACAAAAAACCAACAACAACAAAACCCAAGATATTTCTGGCAGTTTCTCTGCTCAAAAACAACACATCAGTGGCCACAAGGACAAAATACAGGCTCATCACTGAAGAGCAGTGAAGTGAATCTGTTCTGAGATGAGTGGTATCCTGAAAAGCTAAAACACTTCCATGTTTGATTTCCTGAAATGCTAAAATACTTCCATGTTTGAGATCATAGTCAAAATGTCTTTACTCAGTGGCCACAAGGACAAAATACAGGCTCATCACTGAAGAGCAGTAAAGTGAATCTGTTCTGCTCCCACCTGCAATGTGCATCTTTCACCATGTCAGCATTACAGCTCTGAGAAGAGTGGTACCCTGAAATGCTAAAACACTTCCATGTTTGAGTTCATAGTCAAAATGTCTTTACCATTACATTACAGTGTAAACTTAAATATTGTACCATGGTCTAGAAGCCTTTCCCAGGGAACAACACAATACAGGCAAATTTATATAAAGTGCTCTTGATTGCACCTCTGTTGCTAAATGATTACACTGGCTTTGGTGAACTTCACCAAGATGAGAGGAAACAGGGTTCTGTGCTATGCATTCCCCTCTGCAAGGCTTTATCTAAAGAGACTGTACAAGCAAGAGAGTGTGGGGGGAAAATAAGCAACACTCCAAACTGAAAGAGGATGAGACCACAGCACAAAAGTACATACGAACATTTAACAGCCCAAAGAAGATGATATGGTCCATGAAGACCTGCCCTCATAACCTCAGGAAATACAAATCAATCTGTGTTTCATCATCTGAAACTTGAACTTCTAGCTAGTAGCTGTGTGCTCTTCCCCTGCTTTCTTCAAAAACTACTCCTTGAGCTGATTTACACTATTTGCTTCTACTGCTGACTTCGGCAGTTTGTTCCAGACTGTATTTCAACTACCCTTTGTGTAAAACTGTTCTGTCTGAATATATCGGAGTCCCTAAATTCTGGTACACATATTGGAGTGGTTACAGGAGTAATTTTAGTGTGGCTGGCAGCTGGCCTAACTCGTGCTCTGATCTCTCCTCCCCTCCCTCCACTGAACAGTTAATACTGCGCCATCAAAGTCAGGGCTGCTACAGCGAGAATCTGCTCCAGCCAAGTGCCCAGAGGGACAGAGCCTGAACTTGTCACACGTTGGCAGGACACTGTGGCCAGAGCAGCCTTCCTAACCTTTAGAAGGGGACCAAAGCAGCGAAGAGCAAAGAGTAAGCAAATAGAGAGGAGCAGGACCTTATGTCTTACTGTGTTAAGGAATTTGATCCTATTCACAGACCCTTTGTCTGCTTTCCACAAACATTTCCACAGGTAACTGTTGGTTGAAGGCAAAACAAAACAAAACACTGATGCAAACAAACTGTAAAATAAAGTTGATTGTAGATATTTGTGAAAACTGAGCTTTATTCTTTGGTTTTGCTACATTTTGGATGAAAGAAGGTACAAAATTTATTGGTATCTCAACTGCAGCTGTACGTTGGCAATTAAGTGGCTGGAAAGAAATGGGAGAGTGAATAGCAGCCTCCAGATCTTGAATAAATTGTCGGTTGATCTTAAACAGGAAGTACAGGATTCGTAGTTTTGACTTCTGAGGATCTGCATTTTCTAAAAGATGATTACATGCAAGTGTATTTTTAAATCCACTTTTGTGCATGAACTAAGGTTAGGAAAGAGGCAGATAATCTATCAAGTGTGCCATAACTTTTAAATGAAGGTGACATATTTTTCCCAGTCTGAACAACTTTCATCAGGAATATTTTTGGAAATTTAGAAAATCTCTTTGATGTCAAAAAACTGTTCTCACATTCTTTTGAAGCAGACAAAAGGTCAATGTTAATTGCAATATGTTGTAAATCATATAGATTACTTTCAAGAAAATATTTAAGGGAGATATCTTATATGTGACATTCATTCTTCAGCGAGCCAGACATGGATGATGTTTAATTTATAAAGATTTAAAAGGATGGAAGTCTCTTGCAAAATACAGAATTTAATGAAATTCTTCTGTTTTGTTACCAATTTACAGATATCATCTCTTCTTATTTATGGAGAGAAGTGTATTAATCATTCCATGCAGAGTTGCAAATTCAGCAGAAACATAAATTATCAGTCCTAAACCTCAAATTCTTTCAAAGGATCTGTAATACTAAAAGTTTTGAATAGCCTGGCTAGAACAAATGGACAAGAAAAGATAATGCATCTTTTGAAACACAAACCTGCAGAGATGTTATGCTCAATTACTCTGACAAAAGATTTGGAAACCAACAATATCCCCTGTGGAATACCACTGCTAAACTGGAATGCTAAATCAAAAGCTCAAAGTTAAGCAAGAATAATATAGCATAAGCCACATTAAATGTGTGTCATCCCCAATGCTTGAACACACTTGGATATTTATTAGATAACTATTTCTACCTTTGGGGGAAGGGGGAAGGCAGGGGGGAAGAGTTCAGATGAGCAAAATATTAGTAAAAGTACCACTCTGGATTTCACAAGGAGGAACAGTGGGGCTGGGCAGGCTGCATCCCCACTGAAAGTCATCTGGTGACCAGCCAGAGAGCTCAAAGCTTGTTTTAACATCCAAACAAAGGTTCAGAACACAGTCCTTGCTTACCTTCAGAGAGAACAAAAAACCCTACTAGAACCTGAGGCAGAGAGGAGTTGCTTGGAAGGGTTTTGGAGCAAGGAGCAATAACAGCTGTGGTGGCCAAAAATCAGCCGCTGGATGCACCCAAGGACTTGCAGCAAGCCACTGGGAAAAGGTGCTGCAGGAAGCTCAGCACTGCCGTGTTGCAATGGTGTATGGAAAACACACTTGTTTAATTCCAGGGAATGCTTTCAGCCAAGTCACACATGCAAGCAAAGCTTCCATCTGCCCAGAGAAATGGGGACACACCCAGCCACCTCCTGTGGGACCAGGGCACAGCAGGGAGAGAGGCCAGCTGCTGCTCCCAGCAGTGGCCAGCACCCCTGCATTGCTGTGCACTTTTGGGGAGATGAGCCCTCAGGACACAGCCATCCCAACACTGAGTAAGGAGGAATGGAATGTGGGCTGTTTCTGAGGGACAGGAACGGCACTGCCAAAAACGTTGCACTAAGAATACAAGTCCAATTTAGGCCAGTCAGTTCTTATTATCTTCACTGACATGGCAACTCCATGATTTTGGCTGCACAGAAAAAAAGGGATCGTCTTTCTGGACTACAGGCCTGACATGCAGAGCTGCTGCACACACAGCTGGGGGAGGCAGGGGTCTGGAAGGGCTTTGGAACACAGCAGGTGGGTACTGGGAATCTTGAGTTCCTGTACTAGGACATAAGTGATAGGATTACAGACAAGTAAAAAACCTAGAAAAATTCAGGTGAATTATGGAATAATTTTAGTTTACCAGTTCTGAATGTTACCCCTGAATATCCAAAGTCTGTGTCCTAGGAAACAGGGGTGCTGCAGGATCAGCTCAACAGGAACACTTCTGTTCTCCAGACAGATATGCCAGTCAGCAGGGGATCATTATTCATGTGGAAAAGGATGAATTTGCTGATTGATGTTAAAAGCTGATAGGGAAGTTGAAAGGACAACAAACAAGAAGAAATACAGAGCACACAACTGTGGTTTTAAAGTTAATGGGTTTTTCCCATCAGGTAATGCTGCATATGAAATAATAATGGTGCTAACTAAAACATTAGTTACTACTTGATGATGACACTTTACATCTTTCTGTAAACCCTTTTATTGACACTAGCAGAATCTCCTGTGAATAAGGGAGAATAATGTCCTACATCAATATCTGGCATATGTAATGTGTTTATATAATCCAGCCCTCTTCACAGAATTAATTTGATCTGTCTGGTTTGGAGCATGTACTGCTGGTTACCCGTGCTCCCTGTGTGCTTTTATTTCTTGAAAATGCAGCTTGCTCTGTTTTTCTGGCATCTTGGCTGCCTACTGAATGGGGGTAAGAGCACAGACTGAATGGCAATCTACTGACAATCACTGTTGCCAAACCAGAGCTGTGTTCGTGTGGGATGCAAACAACAGCCACTCATCCTTCAATTTCTGAACACTAAAATGACAGGTAGCTCTTAGAGAAGTTTCACTTCTAAATTATTAAGTAAAAGAGAAAGAGAGAAAAAAAAAAGACTAAGAAATTAGAGACACTTACTGAATTACTCCAGTGAACAATATTGATTGACAAATCCAGTCCTAAAAATCAGAATTAAAATTAACTGCACTTACCGCATCAGTCAGTCACATTGCAGAGTTTGAAAGTCTGGCATGAAGGATGAACAAATGCTGTGAAATAAAACCCAAATGCAATTACACTGTAAAAAATATTTGCCAGTTATATTTTATACAGGAGTAACACATCCTCACAAGTTTGAAAACTTTGCGTTACCCAGCGGGAGTGAGTAATTGCTTATCTTGAAACTTTGTCAAAAAGTTCTAATGCAAGGGGTTTAGCTATCAATCAAAATCAAATTAAAAGGTTTTACGGCAAATGAATCAAAGCAATACAATTTTATTTTTCTGATGAGATTTATTTACATAGTGAGATTAAAAATGTCTCAGATTTATGCACCCTCTAAGAACATGAATTTCCCAGATTTGAAACCTTTAATGCAATAACCTTTACCCTGCTTTGAGATAAGCCTGTGTCAGCATTTATAAAGTAAGGTCTTTCTAGCTGTTTGGTCCAGTATAATAAACCACTTCCTTCTCCTGTGCTAAATGATAACTTTTATTCCTTTAAGGCCCCTTCCCTTTAATTCAGCATTTCCATTCCATTTTCCTCCTCTACCTCCAGCTCTAGAGAAATTCCAGGAAACTTTCCCAAGAGATTCCTCTAAGATAAACAAGAATATATCTCTAGAAACACTTGGAGGGCTAAAATGCCTGTCTGTAGTAAAATCAGTGGTAGCACTGCCCAGGACTACACAGGAGACTCAAAAGATCCACAGCTTTACTCTGCTGCTGGACCATGGGGTGCCTGCTTTCCAAGAAGAGTGCTGTACCAAAGGACAAATTTGTGGTGCTCCTACACACATGGAGGAGCAAATGCACAGAGAAGCACATTTTCTTTGCTGGTTTCTGTCATCAAGACCATCTTTGTGGATTTTATTGCTGAACATATCAAAATATCAATCCTAAATAACCATCTCATTTACTGCCTACCTTTCAATTAACTTCATTTTTTCCAGACTTTGGCCCAAAAACATTGTCAGTTTTCCCTTAAGAATAGCCATGGAAGTTTTATTTCTTGCAAGCTTTCAAAGACTCATATTTGTTGCTCTTTCTTCTTCTTTTTATAAAGTGCATTACTGATAAGACACAAAGAGACCAAATACAGTTATGTTAGAGTAATACAGAAAAGACTCATATGATATTTTCCACAAATTTTTAAAAGTGTACAGTTACCCAGGACTGGGAAGCTGCTGAGCTGGGCTCAGTGTTCTTCTACAAATAAAATGGGTGCCCAAGACACAGAATCAGCAGGTTATTCTTCATGGTGCATCTTAAGCACTGTGGCAGTTTCCCTGTGAAAACCTGAGAGGAGGAATTATGGTCAGGGCAGTGAAGGGACATGCTCAGTTAGTTAACAAACAAGGCACACTTTCTTCGTTAGGCCATGCCACACATGGATACCTGCTTCCTGCATCTCCATAATCACAGTGACAAGGAGCAGGACTTCTTCTGCTTGCTATGAGGCTTTCTGGATCACTGGAGATGATTTTCAGAGCCTTGCTGCATAGATTCTGCCAATTTGTGTTCAGGCTCTTCTACAGGCTAGAACAATCAGCTGAACAAGCACCTGGCATAGAAGATGAGTCCGAGTGCCCAGGCTGCACAGCACCCATGGCAAAGTGCAAATAATCAATACCCACATTCGCCATAATTTACCATTGCACTAAACAAGCAAATCAAGTAACCAACACAGCTGACCTAACGGTGGCCAGGAAAGAGCTGTGCTTGTTAAAAACTTGTCAGAGGATTATTCTATGATCCTTTGCTTAATCTTCTTGCTCATCCCAGTTTGTTTTCTCTCACACAAATCAAGTTCTTGTGACATCCAAAGAAATAAAGAGGAGCTGTGTAAGACAGGTGCTCGATTACAGCCTCAGGCAGCATGCAGCTGCCCAGGTAGGACATGGCATTTGGGCCATGTCCTGATCCTTTTGCCCCTTTTCATCCAGAGCAGAGGGAATAGCAGGGACAGCCAGCAGCAGCACGGGCTCTCAGGTGCTGTTTTCCTCTGCACTTCCAATGTCATGGCCCTGGGCTCGTTCAGAACTGATGAGCTGTGCACAAATGTCACACGTGCCACATATGCCGTGCAAATCTGCTGCTCTTGGGTGGGGACAGAACAGCTCCACCAGCTCAGGACTCTGCATCCAAGGATGAGCAAAAGACTGGTGTTTCCAGTCTATCCTGGATTTCGAAAGTGCTGGTGAGCTGTCCTTGGCACACCACACTTTACAGGTATTTTGGGGGAACCTGTGTATGAAACAATGGGTCTGATGAAGGCACAAGCTCTTCTGCCACAGGTGAGGGGAGACAGGGTGTGGCAATACTCTGAGATAAAAAAAAATATATATATAAATAGCCTACTTAGCAATAAAGGTTGACCACTACAGTCCAAATAATTCAATTTAAAATACTGCAAATCTACTCCTGCAGCATATAATATCATCATGAGTGCGTCTGTTCTAACCCACTGATGACCTCAGGGAGTTTCCAAGAATATTACTTCTATTTTCTGTCCTTTCATCCCTAATGTATACAGGCAGACTTAGCTCTGTCTGCAACAAGAGAAGCCATTATATCTTAAGAAAAAAAATGACCACTCCCATTATCTGAATGCCAAATTTCATATATTCAGTTTACCAATATTCCACACCAGCCTTTCAGGTCAGTGAAATGAGATGGGCTCAGATCTCTAAAATCACCAGGATAGAAGCAACATTTTTGTCAACTGACACATGAAACTATAGCAAGAAAAACACAGCTGACATGCTAAAATATGAAAAACTGCCATTATATTTAAGGTGTTTCTAAGAAAGAATATTACATTTATTCTTGTGAATAAATTCAGAGATTTACTATACATCAGACATTAGTCTTTATTTTTCTGAATAAAATAAATATAGCAGGAGTATAAGATTATGACTTCACTATTATTTTGTAAAAGCATTTAATTTAAACAAAGATGCCTATTCACCTGATGTCATAAAATCTAAAACTGAACCATCAAATTATTGTACAGCACGAGCACATTGTACATGAAGACAACATAGGTAGACTTTCATGTGAAACTGCTGGGTTTTATCACTGTTTAATGATTTGTTGCACTATTTATAGGATAAACAATAAATCTAACATGATTCATCATATTAACCAATAAATCATGAGACAAATCATTAGGCAGAGTGATAAAATCAAGTGTTTTAGAAATAAGTTAATCTATGATGCCAATGCCTAATCTAAATAGTTGCTTAAAACCCTATTTACTAATCATTTTTACATAAAGAAAGACTGATGATTATGTAGATTAAATGTGTACTTATTCCTATAATCACATGTTCTGTGCTGGTCTGTTTAGAAAGGAAAAAAAAGATTAAAAACATCCACTGAAAAAAAGTAGCATCATTTTGGTTGTATTTGTATATTTATGAAGAGCTTTCTGCACCACTTTTGAGTCTGCCTTTAATTTTGGTGAAGAAATGGTTAATTAAAGCATGCTGCAAGGTTGCTGGATAGATATTCTCTTCAGCTCTGAATTCCATAATATCCTAATTAACAATTTCATTATGATGTGATGGCTGGTTCTAATGCTTCTTCATTCTTCAGCCTGAATATAACCCTGTAGACTTTCTCATTTGTGACAACTGTGTTTATAGCTTCTCTACCCATAGAGCTTCGTGGCACTTTGAATTATGCTCAAGAGTATATGGGCATCACGTCACATTTGTGTGCCTGATATCATACATGACTCGCTGCGCTCCAGCCAGGGTCCTTAATGTACATTCTACAGATGGACTACCCTCTGAATGCTTAGCCAGATATTAAGTTAAATCTTTTTGGAGTCAAGCTTGTTTCACATCAGTTATACAAACATATTGGTTCCTTTAAAAGGACAAATGCACCGAGAATAAGACAGGGAATCTAGGTCGGAAATCCAGGAAAATCATTTTGAATTTCAGTTTAGCCTTTAAATTTGAAAATCTCTTCTGTGGGAATTATTGTTATCTGCAGAGGGGTTTTTTTCATTTACTTAATCCCAAGGAGAAGTAGCTGAGCAATATTTATCAAGAAGTAGATAAGCAACATAGTTGGCTTAACATGAAAGAAACAAACAGCAAGGCAACCCCCTTCCCTCTCACTTTCTATTTTGTATTAAAATGCAGTATGCCTGAAAATATAGTGACAAACCAACATGATATTTTATAGTTAAGGATTTTTCCTAAAAAAATTTTTTTTTTTTTTCCGAAGTTAACATTTGCTTGCCACTGCTGTTTATCTATCTAGTTATCACATTGGGACTATGTCATACCTACTGTACCTTTCAGTAAGGCCAATCTTGAGAGCAAGGTATTTTCTTCTCACTGAAAGAATACGTATGAGTAAAAAAACCACAGCATCAGTAGTTAGAGCAGTGACCAACTGTTTACTTGTCACACAGAGTCGAGGAACAAACCCCTCCAGCTCACCAAGCACACTGGGGAAGGGAAAGGAGGGGAAGAGGAGGGGCAGGCCTGGCCCTGGGAGAGGGGGGCTGTGTCACAGAGGCTGAAGGGAGCAGAGGGGATACTGCTGGATTTGTTGTTTTCTCACTTTTTATCTCAATCCATACAGCATGTTTTGCAGAAATGTCTGAGACACGACTGGAGAAGTGAGAGCAATTTGATGCTTTGAGCAGTATAGGTGGGGATGGTTTGTTTGTATCTTTGTTTGGTTTATAATGTGCAGACTCTCCATACATAGAAAAAATCTAACAGCAGCACTCCAGAATCATATGCCTGCAGTCCCTTGTTATTATTTTAGAACCTGCTTATCTTTGGCTTCACTTTTTTTCTGATGACATTTAAGGTCAGATTTTTAAAGGCACTTAGATGCCTCATTTTATAGAAATCAATGGGAGCTGGGTGCTTAAACACCTTTGAAGAACTAGCCCTTTAATGTTTATTAACAATGCCTCCGATGAGGGCACATCCCAGAAAACATAATAATTGCCTTTCTTTATTAACTGTGGTGTGTCAAGATAAGATAGAATCAAGTCCTCAGACTCATCTCCTCTCAATGATTTCCTAAATGAGATCAGTTCCCACTTACATCCTGAATGACCAAGGGTGACTAAATCAGAGCAATGAAGTATGCTTACGTCCTTGAAACTCAAATCATCTTGCAGACACTTCTCCCAGTGTTGCTGATTCACATATTATCAAGTTTTAAAATGTTTGTTGTTTTCCTCCAACATTCAGCTGTTACCATTTTAACTTCATGATAATATCCCCTTTTTCTCTTTAGGTAAAAATGAGACTTTTATTTTCCCTTAGGAGCTTAGATTCTCACATGTGAACAATGGAACAAAAGATAAAACAGACTTATTTCTTTGTATTTTTGTCCTCATAATTTTAGTCTGGTGGACTCGCATATCCATTGTTCATCAATGCAAGGCACAAAGCAGAAGGATCTCCAAGTCAGCCACAAAGATACATCTCACATCTTTGGACAGGAAAATTAAAGTCAGGAACAAAGCATTTCTAAGAGAGCTTTTTGGATGACTGGTAAGGGATAAGTAGAGAAGAGAAGGGGAGGGGAGAGACTCTTTTCCTGACAGATCTTCCTCTTTTAAACCACTAGAATGAGCTTTGGATGAAGCCCTGAGCTGAGCTTCCTAAGGCTCAAGCAAGGACATTCCAGCATTTCCCCTTGTTCCTCTAAAGGCAGACCTCCATCAGAGCTCATTTCTACCTTCTGCTTAGCTATGGGCACCCCTGGAGACCATTCCTGGTGGGAACCTTCCTCCAATTTTGTATCCTACAAGCACAGCAGTCACATATTCCCCATAGAAAATCTCTCCTGAGGGTTAGGTACCTCGTGTACCAGCCAAGAGATGCCCAAGCTTTCATGAGGCAGTCACACCTATGTCTTTAAAGTAATTCAAATCTATTTTTGGTGCTGTGATTCTCTTTTTCACTGCTGTCTCTTTATTTTTCTCTTCCTGTTTAATCCCCCCATAGTGAGAGACCAGCTGATCAGCACTCTGGGCAGTGAGCAGGGTGTGTTAGTGCACCATGGGATGTATTTAAAGCCTCTGCCA